AAGTCACTTGTTAACCCATAAAACTGCGAGTGTTCTATATTGTAGTTCTACACATGTTCTTCTCGTCCCCGTAGTCTCCGCTTCTGCAGGGGAAGAGAAAGGAAAAAATATCTTTTCCCCGTGTTCAGGCGAGACCTCACATTTGGAAGAGCTTCTCTGTTGAGGTGGTTGGTAAATGGTTAAACCTACCACTGTTTGCAGACCTTAAACTATGCATTTACTTCGGGAAATGAGTTGAACCAGCGCTTATTTATCTCCTTCTTTAAAGCATGTACGCTCTCTAGCTCCACCAGCTCCTGTGGTAATTTTTTCCATGAGTAGACTACCCTGTAGCTGAAGAAGTGTGAACACACCGCTAGTCCCGTGCGTACTTTCTTCAGCTTATAAATGTGCCCCCTCTATTGCTTTGCATCCTCTCCAAGGACACTGCTTGTTTCGTCCCTGGTAGTTCATTCATAATTTTGAATCTATCTATCAAGTCTCCTCGGAGTCTTCTTCTTTCATAAGAGAAGAGTCCAACGTCCTGCAGTCTCTGCCTATACGGCTTCCCTCACTGTCCTTCAATCATCCTTGTGGCTAATCGTTGGACTCCCTCGAGACAAGCGGTGCCCTTTTTGAAAAAGGGAGCCTAGGCTTGTATACAATATGCTAAATGCGGTCGACCAATGGCCCTGTATGGAGGTATAAAAACCTCCAGTTTCCTACATGTTAGTGCCAACCTCAGTCTATTGCGCTCCTTGCGGGCACGATGCGCCGCTGCGGTACACTGTTCTGCCCGTTTGTAGTCTGCTGTCGCTATGATTCCTAACTCCCTAGCCTTCTGTGTCTTTCCTTAGTGAAAGAACGCCATGACAACTTCCCACTATCAGCCCCTCGTCACCAGTGTTCAAGACATGGCTCTTTCCTATATTGAGAGGCAGATCCCATGTACTTGACCACTTGAGCACTTCTCCTATGTCCCTCCCTAATTCCGCTCTCCCATTTGGTTCTACAACCTTGCCGTCGTTCGCAAATATATAGATAGCTAGGTGAGCCAAGGCGTTAAGGAAGATCATTGAGGTGGAGTAAGAAAAGGAGTGGACCTAGAGCATATATCTTGACCAAAAGTAAGCGATGACATACTGAGTTAAATTCTTTGCTAAAGTCCAGATAGCATACTTTCACTTCCTTTCGCTAATCCAGACTCGTGGTGACTCGTGGTGAGTTCATATTGTCGTTTGATCTCCCTCTGACCTGCCACTGCTTTATTTCTATCCTTGGTGTACTGCTCCCAGGAGCTGTAGCTACCCGTTGATCTGTAGATGTACCAGCTCTATTTCTATACTCAAGATCCGAGACCATTGAGTTTAGACTCGAATCCGTGAAATACTTCAAGACTTCATGGCTAAGCTGTATCACTCTCCTAATCGCTGGGTTTCATGGTAGCGAATTGATCTTACAGGAGGAAGATATTTGCCTTGATCAGGTTCCAATACTGGTCTATGGTATTGTTTTCGTGGAAAGGGCTCTACACCGGCTCTGCAGCTGGAGCCTTCAGCCTTGTAGCATCTACCATCCAGTAGTTCCTGGACATCCTAACCTTACCTCTACGGTTTATTAGAATTATTGCTGTGGTGATAATGACGTGGTCACTTTTACACAGCGGTGGATAAAAGGTACTTTTTATCAAATCCCTCTCCCCCGTGGTGATTATTAGGTTCAGTAGAGATGGTCTATCTCTATATATGTATCCAGTGCACTTCCGGACATGTTGTAGGGCCCTCGTATGCATTCATTCTCAACCTCCCAATCTGGTTTTGGGAAATTGAAATCTTCCAATATACAAGCTCCTTGTGAGTATCTGTGTAAGCTATCCTCGGGCGTAACAACCGAGTAGGCAACCCGTTT